ATTATTCGGCATTTTCCACAAAACCGTATAAAATAGTCATAAATCGATGTTTATCGTCTATAATTGATCGACAGGCACAAAAGTCAAACTCCACGATGGGAGTGCCTAGAGGCAGTGTATACTTTGTGGGACAACTCTGGATACGCAAGTGTGCCACCGAGAGAAGCTATTAGTCCGTATGACTAAATTCGTGTTGAAGGGAACAAAATTTACTCCCTAAATCCAACGAAACGTTTAATCAAGCTCTTACAATTAAATGTGATCAGCTCAACCAAAAGTTTTGTCAAACTGATTACTTATCGATCTGACTAAATTATCCAATCAACACGATTGAAATTTGGTCGACGGAAACAAAATTTCGTTGGTTTTCTCAACACTAAATTTCGTTGAGTTGAACAATCGGTTTTCTGAGTGTGTGAATGTAGCTCACTTGTAGGTTTGTGAATCTATTCGAACACTTAGGGGGGTAAACGTGTGAATTTTTTCCCAGTCCACTGCAACTTGTGTGTCACATTTCGAGTCGCGTGGGACCCGGAGGGGCTTAGCGACGAACTGGAACCAACTGGAACCCCTAATAGGCAGGCGGGAGCGGGGAAGGGGCGGGAAGGGGAATGTGGTCCAGATTGCGGTCTCTGGAGACAGCTACCTTGTCGGCTACTGGGGTACACTAACTCGGCTTGCGATACATTTACTGAATTTATGCGGCAACAGATGGTTTGCGAATACTGTGCAGTTCCTTACGAAGAGAAGTCTTCATATTATGAGGAATTCGATTTGTAACGTGCGAACGATCTGGAACCACCATATTACGAACGGATTTTCTTATTATTACAAAGAGCACCACTTTCAATACAGGCAAGTGCTCTTCATATTACGAAGGCAAAGCTGTCGGAATACAAATGACTTGTTTGTATTACGATGGTGACCAAAACCCTTTGTACAAGAGCAGCTCTTCATGAGGACTTCTTTCCGCAAGGAAAGTCTTCCGTACACCCGGTCGGTACACGCAGAAATAGACACAAAAACACATAAAAAATGAAGGGAAATACAAGAACACGTGTCCATAAACACACTAGTTCGGCCCCTCCTGCGATGGTCGGAGTGCTCCCGTAAACGTCATCGCGGCACCGGAGATAAGTGTTCAGTGAGATGTTCACATTCACACCCCCACAAATTGCAAACGCCGCTCGGTCGAGTTACGCCTAGGAGTAGTACTTAGGGTGTCCAGTGTCCATTGGCTGGCCGACTGTAGTTTAATAGTCAAACCCGCCAGCAGGCAACGCA